TAACCACTAAGCTAAACGGCCGATTGCCACACCGACGAAAATCATAACGTCTTTTATCTACATTGTTTTTTAGCATTTGAAGCAATAAAATTTTATTTATTTATTTATCCTTTCCAGCATACGAATATCGTTTTACAACGATACTTCAAACGAGAGATGTCGCCATTGCTTTTTTAGAAATTCACATCTCATTCTTAGTGCATACGATCATCATCATCATCATTTCAGACTGTTTGAGTCCACTGCTGAACATAGGCCTCCCCCACACAGTGCCACGTAGCACGATCCTGAGCCACGTGCATCCATAGACTTCCCGCACACTCGCACAGGTCGTCACTCCATCTAGTGGGGGGTCGTCCCACACTGTGATGGCCATTACGAGGCTGCCACTCGAGAATCTTTCTTCCCCAACGGTTATCGGTTCTACGAGCTATATGGCCGGCCCATCGCCACTTCAGCTTACTAACCTTCTGAGCTATTTCGGTTGCTTTTGTTCTACTGCGGATGTCTTCATTGCGAACTCTATTAAGAGATATACCATATCGCTACTAAATGAAAAGACAACTTTCTGAGACATCATTCTAAAAAATGCAGTCGTAACTAGTAAAAGACATCAACGGGCTCCTAATTGTTGCTACAGCGATGTTTTAAATAATTATGCAAAAGAAAGTACGCCCCTTTTCTTGTCTTACCAACTTTAAGCTTATTAATAAGGTATATTTAAATTATATTTTGTACTCTATGGCTTTTGTGAAGCAAACTAAAGAACGTAAGCAAACAAACGCAAGCGTCACCGTTAAAATATCTCTTAATGCGTATCCCCTATAAATGGTAGTAATCATGTCGATTCATATAACGTTATTACATAAATAGCTTTGTTACAAATGTTTAATGCAGCAATAAGAGGATTTTGTAATAAGACACATTATGGCCGCCATAAGGAGTTAATTGGAACATTATTATTTAAATACTAATGTATACCTGTATAACCAGGAAATGCCGGGAACACGCAAAGAGATTAGTTCATCTTTAATAAGAACTTATAACCACATCTTAAGAAAGGTTAAGTATAATACCAAAACACTTAAGCATACACATGTATTACTTGCTGTCCCCGCGAAGTACTAGGGGAACAACCTCTAACATTCTATTCACTTCGGGCCTGACGGTATCCGCAATATATGATGCACATACTTCATTATGGAGATACGTCAAAGACGAGAAACGCAAAAAAACAGTTTTTTTTTTTAATTCAGAGTAATAGTTTTTAACGCATAAACGGACAGACAAAGAACTGAAATGTTGAGTTTCTATTTTAAATAATTATTTATGGATTAAATTACTTAACGCATATACGGACAGATAAAGAAATTAAATGTTGCGTTTATATTATAAATAATTAGTTATGTATAAAATTACACTATTGTATGTTACACTGTTTTGGAATCACGTCTCTGCAAAACGAAAGTTTGTTGCGTTCATACAATATAATAATCTAATCCTTATCTGTTTTGATACGGCAATATCCCTTTTCATTTTTTTAATATTTGTTTTAGTTATGTACGGATGTAATTTACAAACGATATAAGCGATGGGAATTATTCGGTTTAAGAAAATATCTGGTTGGTGAGTGAGATCATCACACTTTATAATTCTTTAGAACCACTCTTTCAAACCCAATCAGGTGACCAGCATTCTTCATGCTACTTTGTTTAAAAAAACGTTATAGACATCGAAGATGTTGAACGATTGGAGAACTAATTTGGGACCCCATTCAATATGTGCACTATTATTATATATTATATAGTGTATAAAATACACTGATTTTAAAGCCTCTCGTCATTTCGACAAATTCTATTACAGTGCGTCAATGACGACACCGACATGAAGACCTGATTTCAGAGAACAGTCTTTTGCTGGTGGACCCAAATTAAACTTTATTATCCTGTGTACATATACTATCAGCATTACTCGTGGCTCTATCCCTAATTATACTGTTGATAAGGGCCTCAACAATTCACACCCTTAGAAATTAAAAAGAAAGAAAGAAATTTAAAATCACAAAGAAAAAATAAGACGTCCAGGTAAAAAAAAGTACATTGAAATTATGAACATTAGACTATTATTATTATACTTATAGATAAGGCAGTGCGATGTTAAATGGGTTTTCTTACTTCTTTTTTTCAATATGGTTATTATTTCTTTTTTATTTCATAACTTGCTTGTTCTTTTAGCGAAAAGATCTCTTACACTATGAACAACCAACGAATTAATCGTCATTGTAAAAAGCCATGTCCGCTACGAAATCAAAAGCTTGACACTGGTTGCGGTTAATTATGCCAACTTCTACAATTTACGTACGCCTGGTTCTCACACCAGCGACACAATGAACATTTCAAGTTCACAAACTTGAGAGTAGGTACTATTCTCTCACCACTTGTGTTCAGAGCGCGGATCTGTCTGTAGAAAACAATATACATTAAGAACAGTTGGCAATAATAAATTATCGATAATTATGTTGATTCAACATATCGATAATTTATTATTGCCAATTTTTTTAAATCGGTTCACAAATGCCGGAGCTCTGAGTACACGATATTTACGACCTCTTTTTTGAAGTCTTTTGTAAAGTGGTGGTAAAGTAAAAGCCTATACATGCCTCATTGCTGGGCAAATGCCTCCTCCATACAGAGGGTATCTGGGCATAATCCACCACGCGGGTCCACTGCGGATTGGCGGACTTTACATATCTCCGCAATATATTTTTTTGTTATTATTTCGAAGAACATGCAGGTTTCCCCACGATGTTTTCCTTCACCGCTGAGCACGTGATAAGTCAGAACTTAAAATTAAAAATTATATTTGTGCCGACACATTAAGGGCGAGCGCCTGGATACTGAGCTATCACGGCTCAAAGCAATCACGGCTCAAAGCTGTAGAGCATTATTAAAATTCCTAAATTTCTTAAGAAAATCTTCGATGTATTGCTGATCACTCATTTTCCGTTAATACAGCAGCGGTTCTATTACGAAGTGCTGGCGAATAAAGTGCCTTTGCATTATAATTTTCTCTGTTCCTTTTTTTTATACATTTAGAGCTCTTGTATTTATACACATGATAAATAAAAATATTTTACGTATTTCATACTGTTTTACGACCCGAATGGTGTAGTGGGTAGTGTACTTGCCTCCTGCGCCAGAGGGTGTGGGTTTGATCCACACTACTGGAAAAATATTTTGTAATGAATATAGTGTTTTTCTAGTGTCTGGCTGTTTATATATATATTTTTTTATTTTTTTATGTGAAAAGTTGCCAAACGAGCAGACGGTTCACCCGATGTTAAGTGAATACCGCCGCCCATGGACATCTGCTGCACCCGAGGGTATGCAGATGCGTTGACAACCTTTTTGGAAATGGGCTCCGGCTACCTCACCAGATGAAACGCGAAAGTATTATACTTCCACTTTACGTCGGTCTTCTGTGAGGTCGTGGTACTTACCCGGACGAGCCTGCCCATTCGTGCAACAGCCGAAGCTGCTACGTGGCCCCACCACCCCTACCACCGTAATATGTATAATATGTATTTATTTACAAAGAAGAAATGTTTAAGTAAGTTAATCAGTTATCTAGTACCCATAGTACAAGCGTTGTTTGTTTTGGGACTAGAGACCATTGCGTAAAAATGTGGCATAAAAATATTTATTTATTACTTATTTTAAAACTTCCGACATTTCGTCTATTTATACACGGTCACGGGACTGACTTTGACTGACTTCGCTCGGGTAACTTTGTGATTTGGACTTTGTGATTTTGTGCTGGTTGCCATTCATAACTTGCTTGACGTTCTGTACCTCAGCAGCCAGGTGTTATTAATTGTAATAAAGTCCCTCGCGATCTCTGATACAAACATTTACCCACAGTAGCTAACTGCAAAATATGGTGGTGAGAAGCCACATTTAATTATTATATTGCATGGGTCCTTTCTACACTGTATAATAGTTAATTGTCATTAACTATTATACAACTTAATAATACTGCTTCTGCACCAGAGGGTGTGGGTTCGATCCCCATTACTGGAAAAATATTGTGTGATGAACATAGTGTTTTTCCAGTGTCTGGTTGTTGATTATTTAGTTGTTCATTATCTATATTTATTTACAAAAGAAAAGTATTTTCATCAGTTTATGGCGATTAAATTTTAGGTTTTTTTTTGGGGTATACTCTAACCACTATCTTTACAGTATTGTAACTATACTATAAATTATATATTATACACATTCATCTTTTTAAATTAGGCACTATATCAAATAACATACTCAGGCGACAACAAAACAATTCTGTTTCTCTGGCTATCATGTAAAGAGTACAGAGAGCAAGTGTCTGGCGCATTAAATTTGTCCTTCCGTTCGGCAAGGCCAACGGCTGTGGTCGTAGCCGTCTCCCTATGGATCCAACCGGAACATACATGTTTAATTGCTGTAGTATATTACCGGTGGTTAACTCGTTTGCTACCATCTCATAAAAAATATGTCAGAATAATAAATTGTCCCTATGAGTGCCTTGTAAATATATGAAATCAGAGAAAGTTCTCTCCTAACCCAAGTTCATTATATCCGACCATTCCTATAATGAATAAGGTTGGATACATTGAGGGATAAAGTGGGTACACATGGTTAATTTAGTAGGATACAACTGTTTGAAAAGGTGAGAACGATTTTTTATAGAATCCCTAAAGCAGTTTTAATTAGCAATCAAGGCGCATATTAAATTTTCTCAGTAATTACACGCGGGGAGCAACGTAACGCCGCACCGTCTTCCCGCCGATACGCGAACGCAGTTGCTCACGGTTGACCGAGAAAAAAACACCGTCGCAGACTGCTTTTTTTTTTCTCGGCTTCAACTCCGCCGTTTCGCATCGTCTAGGCTCTTTATAAGTAGTGGAATCCTTTAACCCCCGGTCTATAACCCGTGAATCGCGCGAGGAAAACGCCAGCATCGAAATGTACCGGTTAGTGATGTTCTTTATTTTTCCGCCTATTGGTTTATCGGTTATTTAGAGTTATGCGACCTCGTTAGAAAGCCTAGTGTCTTTGTTATCGATTTTTATCAATGACAAGTGTAGTAATTATTCTATTAGTGTTGTGTATATATTTATTTCATTATTATGTGCACGAAGGGTGTATATATATTTTTAATTTAGAAGACTAACAATGACAGCAACTCATTAAGCACATGAATTAAAACGGAACGAAGTTTATAAACTCTATAACCTAATAAAGCTCGAAATATTTATTGCCTAAATTAATGTTAGTTAATTTGATTTCTGGGTAGTGCGGAGTCGTAGGTAGTGAAAGCACTAGTAAAATAACATCTAATAATGTATTCTGTGATTATTTTTTATTTATCTTACTAAAACAAATGACTTTTCTCATCCTTAACACCTACTTTAGCTTTCGTTGGTTAAATGGTAAATTAATCAATATCTTAATATGTTAGTATAAAAAATAAGTTAGTTTATAAATAAACTTTATATAGTTTCTGATCTTCGTCATTAAGTTACAATACTGTATTTGTGTAACTCGATCATCATAAATTACGTTATATCACTTTTGGTACCTCCTGACCATATCCAACAGCAACCACTTCCGAAGGGTGAAGAGGTCATAGAGATTGTTTTTTGTTTCTATTTTTTATTTGTTTTCTAAACGGCACCACGTTTCCCGCCGCATTGTACCTATTGTTTTCCTCACAATGCATTTTTTATGAATATAACATTTCGCCAATGAATTAAAGTTCTTGACGCGTGTTTTCTGATGAATCGCATGATTAATTATCCGATAATTTTAATGTCTATGCCCGTGCTGGTTTCGATTTAAGTTTTACGTTATGCGTTCCTTCGTGAAACAACGAAATAATATATTAATGTTTTTTTTTTAACTTGTCTTAACAATCGAAACTATTTTATAATCGTAAATTGTTTTTGCCTTCATCGATATCCATTTATATTATGTTCATTAGATTTCTTTACTACCCAATTACTTGCGTTGAAACATATACTCCGCGATTTCTATTCAGCGTTACGCCATATAATATACTTAAAGACTTTCAATATGTACAAAGTGCGATCAATAATATTAAGTTTCCTAACTTTTCTTTATTTAATAGAAAAATATATATCACTATCATCCTTAACGGCTAAAGTTAAAATATGTCCCACTGCTCAGCAAAGGAAACCCTTAAAAATTATGCTTTTGCTTTTTTTCGTAGCACAATCATTGAATACCGGCGTGTATTAACTTTTCACATAGAAGCACGGTATTACTGGAATGGGTGTTCAGGCCGTGATAATATTCATTTGAAGAGGTTATACATTTGCTGTAAAAAATATATCAGTACATACTTATTTATTTTAATAATATACATACACTCAGTGAAACATCAGTTTAGGCTCAACGCTATGTTAAAAAACATGATAACTAATTTAATATTCAATTTTTAGTGCTAGTCTCATCACTTAACATGAAAGTTAAAAGGCGCCGGGACTAGCAGTAAAATTAAAAATCAAATATCAAAATCTCTAGTTTTCAAATCTTAGTTGGAAATATGTAATCTAAGGAAATGTGATTGCTGTAATGGAAACATTAGATAATGACAGGCGTTGCTACAAATGCAATAAAAAACATCGATAAGTTTCCGGAGCCCAATTTGCAAAAAGGTTGTCAACGAATCTGCAAACCCTCGTCAAGAGACATCCATGGGCGGCCGTATTCACTTTATAACATCAGGTGAACCGTCTGCTCGCTTGGCAACTTTTCACATAAAAAAAAGTCAAGAATGTTGCGGATTTAAAAGAAGGTCTTTGGACTAAAGTACCGTTTTATCCCCCACTGACTAACGCTTAACTATCCTACCGTATGGTAAAAGGTTTTGTTGCTGCAGGTGGTAATGACTCTTCTTTCTGTAAATCTTTTACTTTACGCATTACGAACTTACGATGTACAGAATATGTTACTCACATAGTAACAGCCTATACATGTCCCACTGCTGGGCAAAGGCCTCCTCTATACAGAGGATATCAGGGCATAGTCCACCACGCGGTCCCACTGCGGATTGGCGGACTTCACATATCTTCGAAATATATATTTTTTTGTTATTATTTCGAAAATATGCAGGTTTCCTCACGATGTTTTCCTTCACCGCGGAGCACGTGATAAGTCAGCACTTAAAGTTAAAAACTTCATTGGTGCCGGCACCGGGGATCGAACTCAGGTTGCTCGAGTATATTGAATTAAAGGCGAGCGCCCGGACACTGAGCTATCACAGCTCTCGTTACTCACATACTTATTTTGTATACTTTAATAAGTTTTCATATCGTCGTGAATAACATTTAATGTCTTAAGTTTGGATACCAATATCTCTTAATATAAACATCAATTTATCGTTATGTAAATTATCAGTGCATATTATTAAATACAATAAATATATTAACATAAAATATAGCACAGATGCGCCACGGTTTATTACAATGTATTGTATAATCTACACAGTTGTTGTTTATTCCAAATGAATTGCAGCGCGTAAGCTTTCTTTTGATATCTAGGAGGTGTACTTTTGAATTTTTCTCCATATTAGATTTCTTGTATTATCGTTTTAAGTTTTGATTCGATCAATCGTTGTCGAACTGTTAAAATAATTCATGGTCACGAGAGGGACTGGACAAAGGACGTGAAATATTTTCTTATATTCTTATATTTACTTTTCAATTCCCCATTTATTTACGGTGGTAGGGCCACGCAGCAGCCTCGGCTGTTGCACGAATGGGCAAGCCCGTCCGGGTAAGTACCACGACCTCACAGAAGACCAGCGTGCAGTGGAAGTATGACAAATACTTTCGCGTTTCGTCTGGTGAGTGAGGTAGCCGGAGCCCAATTGTCAAAAGGTTGTCAACGCATCTGTAATAAGAACTTAACATCAGGTGAACCGTTTGCTCGTTTGACAACTTTACGCATAAAAAAAAAAAGGAAATGACACTGTCGATGGCTTAAAGGTCTCGTTACCAGGCCATAAAATCAAAAATTTATAACAAAAACTGACGACTTCTACTTTATTCTATAGTTGATAATAAAACTAGCCAGTCCTTCACCTCACCATAAGAAAAATGGCCAAACAAACATTCATGGTAAAACAAGATTGAGCAGAATATTAAGTAAACTAATTAATATTATAGTCAATGACCCCTACTCTACGTATCCAACAGTAATACGACGAGGAAAATCGAAACGAATTTTGCTAATAGGATTTCTGTAGAATTGTCATAATTATTATACTATCAATTATTGTACGGAAGGGAATTAACGGTACTATTTTAGAATAACCTAAATTAATGAAATAATAAAAAATATTTAAAAATACCCCAGCAAAATAATATCTTCATTTGATATCTTGCATATTAATAAAAATCATTCTATTAAAGAGGACGCTTCTGACTTTTTTGGTTTTAGTCAGGAAATAAAGATGACTGAGATTTTATTAAATAATCCAACAATACAATAGCCTATTAAAGCGTGTGTCCTCTACGATTATATAATTATACCTGCGGATAATTTTTTTTGTATATATCATGATGATTAATTCAGTTTTTAGTGCCAGCTGCACTCACACACAAGATAGAATTTAAGTGTGAACTTTTTTGTAAGTAAATTGTCGAATATCCACGCCGCTACGGAAATCTAACCTGCGTCTTACGGGTAAAACCAGACGTTCTAACCACTAGGCTATGCGTGCGATATTCTGTGGTCGCGGAAATCTCGACATGCATCAACTTTGTGTTGGTTCGTGTAAAATTTATGAAACCTTTAGAGCAGAGCATAATTTCGTACTGTGATTCCTTTGACGTACCATTTTCGTAAAGACAAATCACTAACAGCCGATCCACTTTCGCTGTAACAAAAAGATTACCTTGAAAAAATACCTTGACCTGTCGTTTGAAGAAATAAAATAGAAAAGATTTCAATTCAACAGAGCGAGCCACATCATAGTGCTGGAAATTTTTGCGGAGTAAATTACAGTTCGTGAAAATTTAATGTATACTTACATACAAATTCAAATATCTTTGTTCAAATTAAATGAAAGTAATTCACGGTTTTTATCGCGTTTTAATTTCGATTTTTTATTCGCAAAGTTACGAACCCTTTCCGGCGTAACAACTCGCGCCCGGTTTCTGAACCACTGATCATCGTAGAAGTCAACTAATCAGCTGTCAAAGGGCTTTTTGAGTTGCCAAAATGATAGTTAAACTCTCTGAATTGATCGGAATGATCTTCTTAATAATCAGAGTGTGTTTCAAAAACCGGCCGGTCAGTCTGTCCCGTGACTATGAACGTTGGAAACGGTTCGAAACGTCGGGAATTAAAGATCAAAATTAAAACGCGACAAAGGCCGTAAACTAGTTTCATTTAAAATGTAGGTATAATGGTCTTATAGGTCGTAAAATCAAGAAATCAATATATTTATTCAATATAGAAGCATTACAACTAGGTACTTATTAATATTCAAAAGGCTACTACCGGTTCGGAAAAAAAGGCCAATGACCTGAGAGGAACCGGCGAAAGAAACTCAGCGGGAAAAGCAAATGCCTGCGCTGCGTTAGGATTGAACCATAAAGTAACTGCGTATGGACTGCACGCAAAACATCTCCTTTCGTACGAATGCGATTAATAATTATTAAACATCAGTTTACGGTTTTTATTATGCTGACGCTACCTTTCATCAATACTGACGGTGTTCAGCTTGTTGACTGTCCGGATTAGGCAATTGTTAGTTGGTCGTCGTACTAACCCGGACGGGCCAGCCCATTCGTGCAACAGCGAACACTGTTGCGTAACCCTGCCACAGTTAAAGTGATTTACCAGATGGTAAATCATTTGTGTGCCCTAATAATTGCTCCTCTGAACCTGGTAATCAGGACACGAGGTACACCTTGCGCCCATGACTTTTGACGTTATGAGT